TCATGATAGGTCCGAGTGTCCAGGCACAACAGGCGCAGGTGGCGCGCACTGAGAAGAGGTTGGGTCTGGAGAAAGGCCCCAACGCGAAAGATAGAAGGGCGCTGGGGGGGGGGGGGGGGGCGTACTCCTATGTGCTGCATGCCTTAACGGTTAGACCATTGACCACGCGTCCTCTAGAGGACGCAACATTAGGGGGGCGGGGTGTGTGTGTGGCATCGAAGCGCGAACCAGCTGACTGATACATGAACAACCGAGTAAGGAGCGGACGCAAAAAAAATTGTCCGTGCGGGAGAAACCTGTCGGGAGGTGCTTGTCCTTCACCCAGCCCTCCCTCAGCTCCTGCGTCCTCCCCTCCTCCGCGTCATAGATGGCCAGAGGGAACCCCGCCTTGGCAACGTTGAGAGCCATACCCGACCCCATCCGGCCCAATCCCACCACACCGACCCTCAACATTTTTGCAATATGCCCCTGTTCCGTATTGCCGCTGCCGCTGCTGCAGTGCGACAAGTTTGCGAACCCAGCCAAGCACAGGGAGAGCCGATCTCCCCACCACTGCAGTTGGCGTGGTGCGGTGTGACACTGCGCATGCAAGAGCCAGAGGAGGGTGTTGGTAGGCGAACAGGGTAGGATACTTACGGGCGCTGACAACTCGTGTGTAGCTTTAGGTGGAAACATCGATGTGGTGGCCAATGAACGACCGCGGGTGGTTTTTGTATCAAATGCACCTGAACAACAAGAGTATCGATTTGTTGCTACATATATGCATACAGTCAGTGTACACGTACGATGTACGATATCCCAAGAGATCGGCGTTATTACGTACGCTGAATATCACCTCCCCCCTAGACCCACTTGTTGGTAAAACTCTTATCACCAGGCGAATGGCAATAGACGTTCTACGCGGTTGTTGCCTGTCTAAATACGATAATGACTATGTCGACATCCTCAGAAAGCATACATGCAATCTAAGATGACTTTTGGCGTTCGAGATAATGTCCCTTCGAGTGTTGTCTTTGCTGCAGCTGTGACAAATTACTGCTGTATTCGTGCATGTCGGTGTCAGCTACACATGTAGCCTTGCAGTCAGTCTATCACCACGAACCGCCGGTTCACACATAGGAAGCATGAAGCGGACATTAGTACGTTGGAGCAGTACAGTAGCTCCGTTCAAAGCTGCATTGTTGGTGCGCTGTTGGAAGGTGAAGTGTACATGGTTGCACTTGGCAAAGAGCGATGCAGACGGATGTTCAGTGCGACTTCGTGTCCCGTCAAAACACCCCGCGCCTCGAAATAGTGATTGAATGGCTGTCTACACCACACTAATATCCCTCCACACAATAGATTGACGAACTCACAGCTTCTTGGTAGAGCAGCACTACAGCACCAGCCTCGTTTCCTGCCGTCCGCGGCAGCCTGCTGTTGGGCTCAGGTTTGGTTAGGGATGCAGCCAAGTTGGCCAAGTTGTGGCGCAGCCAACCTATTTCGCGCCAAGCGAGAAAAAATATGAGGAGGCGTGTTTTCTCAATCCCGGAACACAGAAAATAATAGCAAGACACAGCAGCAGCACCACCACACCGCACCACACACAGCATACAGACAACATACGAGACAATCAGCACAGCAGCATATGGACCGCGGTAGGCCAAGGTCAGCCAAAGGAACACATCATAGGAAGCGTCGGGTGTGACTCTTACAGCCTGTTGCCTGCTGTCGGCAGCACAAGCGAGTGACGACGCAAGTCAATCTGCGGTCCCCACCGATCTGTGGAGCTCCCCACACAGACGCATCCCCACAAAGAGGCGTACACACTGCTGTAGGGCCAGAAAAGGCACACATCATGGCTGGCGTCGGAAGATATTTAAGACCCCGAGGCCTGCTGCTAGCAGCGTAAGCGAGGGGACATGCGAGTGCACACAATACAAGTCAATCTGTCTGCGGTCTGTCGTCGTCTGCAGGCCGATCTTTGCTTCCGCCACAGGAGCACCCCCCGGAACAGAGACAACGAGACGTACCACAACGCTTTAGGCCAAGGACGGCCAAATATACACATCGTAGGAGGCATCGGGGGCGTTTTATAGAGCCCGTTGCCCGCTGCTATCAGCGAAAGCTAGGAAAGAAAGTGCACACCCATCCTGCACGGCAGCAGCAACAACAGCAGCAGCAGCTGCTGCAGCAGCTACATGAATGTAGCAGATGATTATGCGAGCTAAACAAGCGCTCTCATCCCCTGACTGACTGGTGGTGTCGGGTGAGGTGTGAGCGTGTGCACTGGTGCCCTCTGTGGTGGCGTAGGCTCCATCCATACCTATCTACGCTTGGTTAGATGTCTCTCTCCGCCGCTTCTTTTCGCGCTTCGCCCGAAAATGTAGTACGAAGTATCTGTTTTTTTTTACGAGAAGTACACACAACCTCGTTTTTACAAGCTGGGCCAGCCAAGAAGCTCACTTTCGTTGTTTCGCGTCTCACGCTGCCAATTCCACGAGTTTTGGCTTGAAATTTTGTGCCTACTCTTAGAAGACAATAGAGGATGCGCCGGTGCCAGAATTTTTCGAATCTGAGTTGGTTTGGGTATTAAATGCTCAATTGGCGGTGTAGTGGGGGATGCTTCCGGTACTGAAATTAGTATAAAAATCGTTTTTACAGATTAAGCCGAAATTTGGTGTGCACTTACCTGGGAGCATTGCGAGAACAATGATGGTAGTTACAAGGCTCAGGTCATCTTCCATCGAAAGTTATGGCCTCGTAAAATATCCTCTACAATACAACATTTTCCTGAATATTCCTATATATATTTCGTCCCTGCGCCCAGGTGTAGAGGCCAGTAAGCAATTTTCTATTTACACCACGATTTTCACGAGTTAGTTGGAATCTGAAATTGTGACACGT